AAAATATATTTACTATTTGAGGGTAGTCAAATATTTCTTAAACAGGACACAAAAACTCTAATCATAAAATAAAAGACTGAGAAGTTAAACTACTTTATAATAAAAAATACATGTTCTTCAAAGGATACCATCAAGAAAGAAAAAAGGTAAGCCATGTTTGTCAGAAAATATTTACAATACACATAACTGATAAAGAACTCTTATTATAGAATAGAAGAGACCCATGTAAATTGATTTTTTTAAAGACAGAAAATGCAATAGAAAAATGGGCAATAGAAATAACCAAAAAAATAAGAGTCTTCCATCTCATTGTCCCTGGAGAAATGCAAATTTAAATCACAGTGAGACACCAATATGTACCCACCAGAATGGCTAAATAAGAACTTTTTTAAAAGACTAATAATACTAAGTGTGGCAAAGGTGTGGAAAAATGGGAATTCTTATATACTGCTAAGTGGGAGTATAATTTGATACATTTTTGGAAAACTGATTGGCAGTGTCTACTGAAGCTGAACATACTCAAGTCCATTCCTAGGTATCTACCTGACAGAAATGCATTCAAATATTTATCAAAATACATGTACAAGAATGTTCATTGCAACTCTATTCTTAATAGCCCCAAGCCAGAAGCAACCCAAATAGCCATCAATGATAGAACGGATACATTAAGTATGGCATCTTCATAGAGTGGAATACTATACAGCCATAAGAATGTACAGATGATTACTATACCCCAAAACATGGATGAACCACATAAACATAATTTGAGTGAAAGAAGGTAGTTACAGAAGAGTACACACCCTGTGTGATTCCATTAATACAAAGTTCAAAAGCAGACAAAAATAATGTATAGTTTTTGAAACCAATATGGTGATTTTATTCAGGGAAGAAAGGAGGCAGTAGCTGTGAAAATGGCATGAGAGAGACTTCTGTGGGGCTGCTAGTGTTCTATCTTCTGATAAGTGTATGTTCAATTTGTGAAAATTCATTCATTCATTCATTCATTCATTGAGCTGTACGCTTATGATTTTGTGTACTTTTCTCTATGGATGTCATACTTCAACAAAAAGCTTACTTTAAAAAGAAGCCATTTACAATACTGAAAAAAGAAATATAAAGTATACTTAGAAATTAATTTAACATGTGTGCAAGTCCTATGTGCAGAAAACTTTAAACTTTATGGAATAATATTACATATGACCTGAATAAGTAGAAATATAGCTCAAGTTTATAAATAGGAAGGCTCAGTTTTGCAAACATATTAATTTTTTCCAAATTAATCTATAGATTCAGTGCAATTCCTTCCATAATCCCAATAGTCTTTTTCATGGACATTGACAAAATGATTCTACAGTTTATATAAAAAAAGAAAAATCCAAGTACAAACCAAGACACTCTTAAAGGAGAACAGGGTGTGGGTAGTAGCCTTACCAGATATCAAGATTTATTATAATAATAAAGACAATGTGGTATTGGCAATGGGGGAGACAAACCTGATCCTCAGAATAGTATAGAAGATGCTCCAAACTCACATAACTGTACATTAAACAGACTAAATTTTACTGTATATAAATTATATCTCAATAAGAGAACAAAATAACTTTATGTGTTTGGGTCTTTTTCTGGACTCTATTTTGTTCCATTAATCTATTTGTTGGTTCTTATGTGAGTACTACACGGTCTTGAATATGTAGTTTTATATTAAGTCGTGAAGTCAGGAAGAGTAAGTCCTGCAACTTTGTTCTTTCTCCATATAGCTTTGGATATTCTAGGTCTTTTACATTTCCATATAAATTTTAAGAGCAGTCTATCATTTTTTTTCTTTTCTTTTCTCTTTTGGTGAGAACATTTAAATTCTACTCTCTTAGCAAATTTAAATGATATAATAGTTTATCAATTTCTAAAAAAAAAAAAAAACCTAGTGGGATTATGATTGGGATTGTTGAATCTTTAGATAAATTGGAGCATTTGAGATCTTAATATCGAGTCATCAAGTCCATGACCTTGAAACTTGTGAGATCCGTGAACTCCATTTATTTAGATATTCTTTAATTTCTCTCAGTAGCATTTTATAGTTTTCAGTTACAGGTCTTGGATGTTTTTTGTCAAATTTATTCTCACATATTTTATGCTTCTTGATGTTATTATAAATGGAATTTAAAATTTTCATTTTCGGCTGTCCCGTGGTTTAGCGGTTAAGTGCACACGCTCCGCTACTGGCGGCCCGGGGTTCGGATCCGGGGCGCGCACCGACGCACCGCTTCTCCGGCCATGCTGAGGCCGCGTCCCACATACAGCAACTAGAAGGATGTGCAACTATGACATACAACCATCTACTGGGGCTTTGGGGGAAAAAGAAATAAATAAATAAAATTAAAAAAATAAATAAAATTTTCATTTTCTCTTTGTTGCTTGTCATTAAAACACATTGATTTTTGTATTTTGACTTTGGATCCTGTGAACTTGCTAAATTCACTTATGAGTTTTAGTTGCTTTGCAAATTAGTTGAGGTTTTCTGTGTAAACGATCATGTTATCTGCAAGTAGAGAGGTTTTTAAGCCTTTGTCTCTGCTCTTTATGCTTTTTTTTTTTTTTTTTTTGGTGAGGAAGATGGGTCCTGAGCTAACATCTGTTGCCAGTCCCCCTCTTTTTGCTGAGGAAGATTAGCCCTGAGCTAACATCTCTGCCCATCTTCCTCTATTTTGTATATGGGATGCTGCCACAGCATGGCTTGATAAGCGGTGCGTGCGTCTGCGCCCAGAATCCGAACCTGGGAACCCCAGGCTGCAGAAGCAGAGCACACGTACTTAACCATCACGCCACCGGGCCGGCCCCTCTTTATGCTTTTTGTTTCTTTTGTTTGTCTTACATCACTGTCCAGGACCTCCAATACAGTGTTGAATGTAAATGAGAAGAGTGGGCATCCTCGCCTTGTTCCCAGACTTAGGGCTAGGGATTATCATACATCTTTCATGGGGATGTAAAATAGTACGACCACTTAGAAGTTAATTTACATTATCTTGTAAATTTGAACACTTGCATACCCTATGACCCAACAACTGCATTCCTAGATATATTGGCTATAGCAACTCTTACCCATGTGTACAAGAATGCTCATAATAGAAGAAAATAAACAACTCAAACTTCTATCTATAAGTAAAGGAAAATGGGTAAATAAACTCATGTAGTAGAATATGACACCACAGTGAAAACTGATGAACTACAGTGACCCTCAGCAACATGGATGAATCTTAAAACAATATTGAGTAAAACATGCAATGCCATATAAAGAAAAATACAGCATCATGTGATTTTCATAAAACTCAAAAACAAGCGAATCTAAACAACATATTGTATAGGCATACAGATAGATGTGATAAAAATATTAAAAATAAAAAGTGAAGGAAGGATAAGCACAAAAGTCAGGACAGTGGTTACCTCTGGGGAGAAGGCAGAGAGATGGAAGGATTGGAGTATAGAAGTGGGAGCAAGTTTTTGGTAATGTCCTAGCTCATGGATTGGGAGGCAAAGTCAATGAGTTAATTATATTACTTTTGCTTTAAAACTTACATATACTCTTTTGTTTGCATTCAAACCATTTTTAAAGATTAAAGAATTAAAAATAGCAAAATAGCTGTTAGCATACCATACATGCTGTTCTTGTTGGTTTCCACTTACAATGTCCTGGAAATTTTTCCCTATCAGTAGATATAGATCTACCTCATTCTTTCTATTGGCTACATAGTATTTCACTGTCTGAATACACCGTTTACTTAATCAGTCCTCCCTAATGATGAATATTTGGGTTGTTTCTAGTCTATAAACAATGTTGCAATTAATCTCATTATGCATACATCTGTATACAGTCTATCTGTAAGATCAAATTTCTACAAGTGTAATTACTATGGCAAGAAATGTGTTACAGTTCTGAACAGATGGCTAAATTCTTTGTTCAACTTCAGACAATAGGAGTTTAAGGCAATGGTAAGAAATCCAAAGAGGAAGTCCTGCAGATATTGTCAGTGGGGAATACCTGAGGACACCTACAGGTGTGTACTTGACTGCTTTTGCACATGCAACGTATCTGGAATAGAGTAGGTATGGAAATAAGGTGAAGGTTTTCGCCACTTGAGAAAAGCAACATTAGTGACCTAAGGCCTCCAGGCCTGTTGGACAGCAGTTGCATAGCAGACCCATAGACTCAGCCGATCTCTTGCCTACTCAAAATTAATGCAAAATATCCATCATGAACAAAATACCAAAAATTTTAAATATTAAAGACAAGATCCAACCCTTCACTTTCACCACCTTGCCTCACTCGCCTCACTAGTCCTGGTTCCAATAAAACTTTATTTACAAAAACAGGTGGCCAGCCCGCAGGCTGTGGTTTGCCAATATGATTTTTTTAAAAATTATTATATATATTTTTATTGTGGTAAAATATACATAAAATTTACCATTTTAACCACTTCTAAATTTACAGCTTAGTGGCATTAAGTACATTCACATTGTTGTGCAATGTGATATGATTTTTTAAATATTACATTAAAATATATACTGTGATTTCTGTATGTTTGGCGGCGCCCCCTTAAATTTTGCGCCCGAAACCAGTGCCTCACCCGCCCAACTCTAGTCCTCGCCCTGTCTCGCTCTGTCCTGGAGCCTGAAGGTAGAAAACTGCAAGTTTTTCCCATAAGGTAGCAGCAGAAGAGTTATTCCAAGGCGATCAGACCACCGAGGATGTCCGTCCAGATAGCCACCCGCGACGGGACGATTTGTTCCGCCTGCATCTGCCCGCCCCCTTCGCTCTCCTGCTACGGGACACACCTGGCGGTCGCGCCCTCTACCTGCCTCGAGCCACCTGGCGGGCGGCTGGCAGCGCCTGGCCCGCCCCGCTCGGGTCTGCCCCGGCTTCCTGCCCGCCAATGGGGAAGGGGGCCCCTCCGCGCTCGGGCAGCGTCCCGCAGAGCAGCCAATGGTAGAGCGGCATGCAAATGAGCAGGTGCGGTGGCGGCCGGGCCGTCAAGGCGGCCGCGGCTCAGGGGATGTTAGAGGCGCGCTGGGCGGCCGCCGAGCAGACGCCCGGGCTTCGAGCTGCGAGCTCCGCTCTCCCGCCATGGCCCCCGCTCCGCCCCCCGCCGCCTCCTTCTCGCCAGCCGAGGTCCAGCGGCGCCTGGCGGCCGGCGACTGCTGGGTCCGCTGCGGCGCCCGCCTCTACGACCTCACCGGCTTCGTCCGGCACCACCCGGGGGGCGAGCAGCTGCTGCGGGCACGGGCTGGCCAGGACGTTAGCGCCGACCTGGACGGGCCGCCGCACCGGCACTCGGCCAACGCGCGCCGCTGGCTGGAGCAGTACTACGTGGGCGACCTGCTAGGAGACCCTCAGGTACAGCCCGACCGGGGATCACACACCCGCTTCTCTCCCCACTCCTCCCCCAACTCTGCACTCCCCAGCAAGCCCCGTTCACCTGCTCTTTAGGAGGACCCAAGGTGACAGCCTCCGCCCTCACCTCCGCTTCCCCTCTCTTCTCTCCAGGTAACAGGTCACTGCCCCCGCTCCCTTCTCCCAGGAGCTTGCCCTTCCTCTCCAGCCTCTCCCCTGACCCTCTTCTATCTGCTGCTTCTCCCACCTCCCAAGTTACCCCCTCCTTCCTACTTGTTCCTTCTGCAGCCTCTGCCATCTGACAACTTGGATCACCTTTCCCAGCCCCTCACACGCCCAGTCTTTCCTTCCTGTTTCCTTATCAGCCTCTCCCTCTTTGCAACTGCTCTTCATTTCTGTTTGAATAATAGTTTCCAAGCTCACCTGTCCTCTCTTTCCCATCTCACCCTACTCCTGCTTCCAAAAGCCACAGATCATCACCCTTCTCAGCTAGCTTGGATTTCCTGGTGCCGCCCTAGCCTTGCACTAGGGCTCCCATAGGTGGGTGGAGAGGTTGGGGTAGTGTCTTGGGTGTCCTATGTCCTCCAATCCCCCAGACTTCTTTATTCCTTCTCTGACATGCTGGCTTGGGTGTCTAAAAGAGTGAAATGACAGGGGAGGGAGAAAGGATTAGCACTTTGAGCTGCCCACTGCTGTGCAGTGCAGGCTCGTTATGGTATTTCAGCCTTTAACTGATCCTGGGGTAGGTTTTGTTATCCCCCTTTTAGGATGTGGAAACTGAGGCTCAAGGAGGCTTTGTAATTTGTCCAAGGTCAAACAGCTGCTTAGTGGAAAAGCCGAGGGTATCTGACTCCAAAATCGATGCTGTCTCCATCCCAGTGGTCCTTGGGCATGGGAGATGGCCCCTATCCGCACCGCTCCAAGTAGGCTTCGTCCAGAGTCAAACCAACTCCTCGGTCCTTCCCCGGATCTGGCCGTAGGACTGGTGACAGTGGGGTCATCATGCTTGAACATAAACCAACAGCTGTTCCCTGCTTCTAGTTCTTGCTTTCAAGATGGCCCCAGCAAGTGCTTTTATTTATTTATTTATTTTTTTGTGAGGAAGATCAGCCCTGAGCTAATACCCATGCTAATCCTCCTCTGTTTGTTGAGGAACACCGGCTCTGAGCTAACATCTATTGCCAATCCTCCTCCCTTTCTTTCTCCCCAAAGCCCCAGTAGATAGCTGTATGTCATAGTTGCACATCCTTCTGGTTGCTGTATGTGGGACGTGGCCTCAGCATGGCCAGAGAAGCAGTGCGTCAGTGCGTGCCCAGGATCCGAACCCGGGCCGCCAGTAGCGGAGCGCGCACCTAACCGCTAAGCCACAGGGCCAGCCCCAGCAAGTGCTTTTAGATCTTTCGATAAGAGGACTTGCTTCTCACTGTTTCAGGTGGCTTGTCACTGGGCCATCTTGCCTAATTCTTCAATAATTTATTCACTCATTCACTTGGTCCCTTAATGGTTGGCAGCACTGAGCTAGGCACTGGGGAGGCACCAATGGACAAAACCAATATGGTCTTCATGGAGCTAACAGTCTAATGAGGAAGGGGAGGGAACATACTAATCGCACAGTAATTATTTAATTACCCACTGCTGTCAGAGTGTAGGTTTGGAGGGGAGGGGTTCAGGAAGAGCTTTCTTGAGAAAGCAACACTTACACTGAGCTATTGGATGGATAGGGCTTAGCCAGGTGAAGTGCGATGGGAAGAACATTCCAGACAGAACAGCAAGCGTGAAGGCTCTGAAGGGGAAGGGCTTGGCACAGTCAAGGATAGAAATAAAATCAATGTGACAGAGGCTGTGGGCAAGGAGAGGGATGGGGGAGGAGGCCAGAGATCAGCTGGGGCCACATCATGCGGGGCCTTCTAGGCTGTGGTCAGGATTTGGGACTTGATTCTAAGAATGATGGGAAGCCAGGGAAGGGATTCAAGCAGGGGTGTGGCGTGGTCAGATTTGCATCTTTGGAAGAGCACTCTGGCTGCAGTGCCAAGGGAGCCCAAGTGGGTGTGAGGGACTAGGCAGGAGGCTTCTGCATAGCCCGGGCGAGAGGTAATGGTGGCTTGTACCACGGTGGCTGTGACCAAGGGGAGAAGGGGGTCGAATTTGGGAGGTTTCATACGTAAAATGCCAGGACTCAGCATTCTGCAGTGGGAGCCCAATCTAATCTTGGAAGCTGATGTTTTGTGTTGAGTCATGCTGAAGGGGCAGAAGGTTTAGCCATACATATAACTAAAGCTGATTGTAGGAAATGAGAGGTTGGGACCAGAATACAAGAGACTTCCAGGCTTGTGATGGCTCATGGGAGCCATCCTACGTTGTGACTGTGTCCTGTAAACAGGAGCCTTCGGGTGTGGCTTCTCCTCACAGCTCCATCGTGAGCATCACTCCTGGTCAGCTGCCCTAGATGGCTCCACCTTCCCAGCTCTGCTAACTACCCAGTACTGTGGTTTGATTTTATTTTGCTTTGCTTCGCCTTACCTGACCTTCGGGGAGGACTCAGACAATACTGAGTCCAAATTTGCTTCCTACCAGTACTCACCTGTTACCCAAAGAGTCCCAGTGTGGCCATGTTGCAGGCATCCTTATATGGGGGCCCCAGTATGAGGATGTGGGAAAAAAACTAAAAACTAACAACACACTTACAAACCCATGGCCCAAACTTGACCAATGGCCATAGTCATCCAATACTCCAGTTGCCTGTTGGCTTCTGTCTGCAGATTTCTATTCTGAAAACTAGTGTAGGGTTGTCTTTAAATTGGGGGGGAGAGAGAGAGGAGAAATCTGGAGCAGGGTATCCTTTCAGAGAGAAGCCCTCTTCTTAAGGCCTGAATGGAGACAAGACGTTTCTGTTCTTCTCTCTAGCTAAGCCTTTCTAGCAACCCCCATGCTGCCATCTCCACCTCTGTCCTCTCCTCCTGCTGGACCAGGCATGTTGACCAGGGATGCTGACACCTGTTGAGGTTAGAACCTGGCTCTTGTAATGTGAGGACCAGGAGGGGCGTTAATGGGGGAGGGGAGTGTCATGAATCAACTCTGTTGTTTGGGGCTCATTTCTGAATGGGGCCTCTCCTAGGGGTCCTTCCCGAGCATAGTCCTTGGAGGGGCGCGTCCTGCAGCTCTGCTGTGAAATTTCCAGGGGGACCTCCTGGCCCCGTTGGTTTCCCCTCTTCCCCACTTTGCCACACCCCCTCTGTGTACACACTTACACACACATTCACACTCACAGGAAGGCACACACACACAAAACAAGTCAAACTTGTTTGGACCAGCATACTTGGGGGATGAAACAAGGTCTGCTGTGGCCCTGGCCTTGGACTTGAGGAAGCTGAGCTGTCCACCTTGAGCAAGCAGGAGAGTGAAGGCTGAGCCTTGGCCCTCAGGGTCCGGCAGGGTCAAGCTCCTCACTCCAGGTTCAGGTAAGAACCGGGTTCTTCCAGGTGCAGCTCACGTCATTAGTGGGGCATGAAGTCCATTTATTGAGCTGCAATCAGCCTTTTTAAAAAAAAAAAAAAGAGAGAGGAAAGGAGAGAACTTTGGGTCCAAACTGCTCCAAGGCCATGGATACTGTGCTTCCCAGACTTCCCAGACATGGGTCATCCACCACTGTCCCAGTTTTTACCAAACTGACATACAACCTGAACTATTATATTTAATATTTTTAAGTAGACTCACTTTTATTTTACCATTTACTCACGCTAAGCAATAATACCTGTAAAATCACAGGTTTTACATGCACTTTAAAATAAATATTAAAATCAGAATATTTTGATATTTAAAATATTATTGAAATATCTATTAAAATAAAAAATGCTCATCCTTGTACCCGCTAAAATCAAATTGTCTTGGGCACCTTTAGAGGAATATATATCACACTTTGGGAAACATACAGAGCAGAGCTTTTTAACTCTCGTGTCCTATGGATCATTTTCTGGGATTGAGGAAAGAGATGAAATTGTGTGTAAAAACGCATGGTCGTGCATTTTTCTGGTGAGAAAGCTACAGTTTTCATCACAGTCCCACTGAACTCCTTTCCTTACCCCAAACCTGCCGCCAAGAGGATAATAATGTCAAAGGGCAGCTCATACTTCCCCCGTCTCACACACACACACAGACCTTGAGAGCCCCTCTGGTGGGCCAACAACTGACTACACCCCTGGATACAAGCCCTCTGTTTGAGAAGACCCTGGAGGAGGGCAAGCCTCTACTCCACAGCCACTGCTGTCGCAGTAACCCTGAGGTCTGAATGTGCTAATCCCACAGGGCGCATCTCTCTCAGTGGTTGAGAAGTCCACAGATTCTGCCACATGTGGTTCTGCCAGGCTTTGGGGTCTGGCCGTTCGGAGCTTTAGGGCTTGAGTAATTAAATGGGGATGGACAATAGGGAGGAGAGCTAAGTGCAGGAAGACTTGGGGTTCCCACCCCAGGCTCTGGAACATCTTGAGCACAGCCCAACTTGGAAAGCCAGTCTGAGCTGAGAATTCAAATAAAAGCTGATGCTTGGGGAACTTGCCAAACTGCCCCTGCATGCGGAGCCAAGTGGACATGAGAAGTCTGCTAACTGAAGGGGGTTGAGATCCACTTAGCCTACAAACAGGCTTCCCAGTTAAGCCTGTCTGGCCCATCAGCAGCCACCATCCTTTGCTGCCTGCCAGGGACTTCCAAGCTCTGGGTTTTCACCTCTACCTACAAATCTTTTCACGATTTTGCAACGTAGATGCGTTTGTTCTTTGAAACCGGCTGAGTCTTACCTGGAGGATGAACTTAGAGCCAGCTGGTAAAGCATCCAGGGACCCAGGTCACTGTGGTTCCCTAGGACACTGGGGTGAACACAGGCTCCAGGAGTGCTTCCTGGTGTCATCCCAGAAATCAGTGAATGAAGGGGCCTTGAGACCCAAATTGGGAGGAAGGTCAGAAATTAGGACTCTCTGGGGGAAATAAAAAGAAACAAATAGGAATCTCAG